GAAGCTATAAATACCAAGAGAGAGAACCTTTTCAAGGGGGCTTCTCCAATGGGCAGAGAGAAAGTATTTAACACTCCATTCTCTCTCCTGATTCTTCTCCTCCTGGGCCAAAACATAGAACATTCTTGGTTCTGAGAACAAAGGGAAGAATGCTCCATCAGGCTGAAGAAGACGTGAGAAGTTCAGAAATCGACAGGCTCTCGACCTCTTTCCAAGGAAAGAGGACAATGACCTGCAAAAAGGAAAGCCAAATTTGTAATCCTTGAACCTCTCCAAGGAGGGGCAGAGTCAATTTCTCCAATCAATAAAGCTTCCTGAGTATTGCTTAAATGAAAATGGTTGTCTTGTTGCTTTAATTCCTGATTCAGTATTAATTATTGCCTAGGATTTACCTTTGATTCATTTTTGATTGTTTTCGCTTACAAAGTAATTAGTATCTTTTGAGCCAAACACTAGGTTTTGAACCCACAAGATTATTTTGGATATGTGCTTTGCCTGGTGTCATATAAATGGCAATTAAAGTGCCAATGATGATAAAATGATGTCAGATATAACATTTTGAATTATTTTTCTAAGAGATTGAGAAAGGCAATTAAAGCCCTTAATCATGTAATTGAACTTAAAATGTTATGCCTATGAAAATGATGGTTTCATGTGAATTACTCATAGTAACAAGACCACTGGGTAGTGTTCATGTTTCACTTTATAATAATTGTAATTTTTTTGTAGGATACTTTCAAACAAAGCTTGGAGGAGTTCATTCAAAGTCAGCCGATTGATGATCAAGGTAGTCCAATCCAACCATCCCAAGAGGAGATCATGGACATGTGGGTTAAGGCAGCTGATGGCATGCATAAGGGGAGAGTGTACGGCCTTGGATCAGAGTTTAGTCTTGGTCGTCGTACTTCTGGATTGTCTAGTTCTTATTCTTCCTCACATTGCTCGGTTGATCTGGATGAGTTTGAGAAATTGAATAGGAAGGTAGCGAAGATTACTGAGTTGTATCTTGAAGAAAGGGCTGCAAGGGAAGAAGAGGCAAAGCGGAGGGAGGAAGATAGGCGAAGAGAGGAAGAGGAAAGGCGAAGGGAGGAAGAAATAAGGCAAAAGAACGATGCATTAAGACTTGTCACTAGTGATGTTAAGAGTCTCAAGTCTCAGATAAACTCCCTCTTAGCATCTCGTGCATTTCCTGTGCCCCGTTTTCCAGCATCTGATGATAACTAAAGAGTAGTTTCTTTTATTAGCTTGTCTTAGATGGTACCTGGATGTTGAATATTGAATGTTGGATTTTTTGAGTTTTTGTTCTACTTTCTGATTAGTTGGATATTAATTATGAAATGGATTGATTAGTTGTTTATGAAATGAATTGGATTGCATGTTGAACTTGGTATTTGAATGTTTAATTGTATTTAGTCTTGTATTGTTGGTTGTACTTTCTGTTTGGCAGGTGGTGTAGTTCTAAAAACATATTTGGCCATGAAATATTTTTCAGATTTTCCACGGCTTTCCCACCGACTCCGTGCGAATATTGAATATTTCTCACTACTTCCATGGGTTAAATAAAAAGAATATCTAAATTATTTTTAATACTTCCCACGGATTCGGTGGGAAACTTAAGAAAATTAAATTATTATTTTTTCTTACTTTTCCAACGACGTTCGTGGGAAATTACACTAGGTGACACCGTTTTCCCACTGAGCGTCTCCACTGGGAATGTCGTGGGAATATTGAAATTTCACACAAATTTTTCACCGATTCTTTCGTGCGAAAAGTCTGTATTTCTAGTAGTGGACACATTGTTTCAAAGATGAACAGATGGATGGAAATGCAGAACAAGTATACCAAGAACAAACATCTCAAAGAAAAAAATTTGTCTCTTGCAATGTATCTCATGAACATGCCTTAGAGCCTGAGAATATGATGGCTGGCCATGAAAATGAATTCGAGATGATGCAGGATCAACTTGCTAGTGTAACAACCTGACCGATTGTTTTGAGCATTTACACTTCACTCGGTTGTTAAGGGCATGGGTAGCTCCGTATAATGTATTATGACTTATGTGAATCGTCGGTTTTGGATTTCAGGTTATTCGGAATTGATTTAGAAGAATGATTCTCTGCTAGAAGCTTTAAATTTGAAAGGTTTGACCAAGTTTGACTTTTTAGTATTTGACCTCGGATTGGATTTCGGATGGTTCCGTTAGCTCCGTTGGGTGATTTTGGACTTAGAAGCGCGTCCGGATTGTGATTTGGAGGTCCGTAGTAGAATTTGGCTTGAAATGGCGAAAGTTGGAATTTTGGAAAGTTTGACCAGGAGTGGACTTTTTGATATCGGGGTCAGATTCCGATTCCGGAAGTTGGAGCAGGTCCGTAACGTCAAATGTGACTTTGTGCAAAATTTGAGATCAATTGGACGTGATTTAATAGGTTTAGGCATCAGTTGTGGAAGTTGAAGTTTCCAAGTTCATTGATTTCGAGTTGAGGTGTGATCCGTCGTTTCGGTGTTGTTATGTGTGTTTTGAGGCCTCGAGCAGGTCCGTGTTATGTTATGGGACTTGTTGGGATGTTCAGACGTGGTCCCGAGGGGCTCGGGTGAGTTTCGGACGGGTTTCGGGCTATTTTTCCTTCATTTTGCATTGCTGGTTCTGTAGAACTCTGAGTATCTGATTTCCTTAATCGCGATCGCGGGGTATGGATCGCGATCGCAATCGCGTAAAGTTGTTTGAAGGCTGGGAGAAATTGTTCATCGCGTTCGCGAGTCTTCAGACGCGTTCGCGTAAGTTGCTGCAATTTGAGCATCCGTTTGCGTAAGCCTGCACACGTTTGCGTAGAGTGTTTGACTTAGCTGGGCGGTGGCCGCTTCTTTTGGTGGAATTATATTTTGTCCATCGCGTATTCCCGCGTTCGCGTATCAGTGAGTTGTTATAGTTTTCCCAGTGGGATACTTCATTTAATTCACCTTATGTACCTAGCTTTGAGTCTTTCTCCTGGCTCGAAGCACTATATAGGAAAAGAGCTTCCCTCATCAATGCTAGAATTTCCTCCTTCCGTATCTAACCTATGCTATTTGCAACCTTTTATACTTCAACTTTTCTTAGAACTCGAAACTTCCTTTCATATTATCACCGAAAAGTTTGGCGATTCTGCACTATATAGTTGCTTGTATTTTTGCTTCCAAATTATATGTTATAACACTCATCAAATCTATAATACAGATTCGATACATGCTTCAATATTGGACTAGTCCTTGAATAGTTTAAAATGATGTGGTGGCCAAGATATGGAAGTTTCAACCTCTGTTTTAAAAGGCAGAATTGGGACTCGCCCGGGGCTCGTCTCGGGCGGAGCACTCGCAAAACGCTTCTGAACTTATGTGTAGGGCTTAGTTCTGTAAGACTTACACCTCGGCCATTGGGGCTTACGCCTCGGACACGCCCAATGCCAAGCGTAATGGGCTCGGCTAATAGAACTTTATGCAATTATGTGTAACTAACATTGTAAATCCTCAAATTTTCTTAATAAATCGTTGACTATTCAAAATTATTTTTTTCTTAATCATTAATCATTAAGTTGAGAGTATTTTAGTCATAATTAAAATAAAATTTATTGCATGTTATCCACTAAGACTGCTATGATAGTTAATTTTAAATAAATTTTTCATTTAAAAAGTATTTATTTATTAACTTTTGTTTGCCTTTAATGATAATAGGCTAGATTTATGTAATTTCGCGATTGTTTATGCCCCAGCTTGATCATGTTTCACCGTTATAATATAGTTAAATGATGATAAATTGGCTCTAATTGGGAATTTCACACGTTGCAAGAGTCATTGGCATGCATGAGGACTTAAGACGGTAATCGGAGCTAAACTGAAGCAAGAAAAGCCCCTAGAAGCTGAGTACGTGGGAAGACGAGAGAAAGAAGAGCTAAAATGGAGACCTGGACTAGCGCGGTCACTAGCGCGACCGCGCTAGCCCAGTTAGTCGAGGCAGAATTGTCACACCTCCTTTTTTTTACACCCCGCCCGAGGGGATATATAAGGGAGTTTTTCCAATTAAAGTGACATTAATCGATATGGGATTATTTAATTTAATTAATCAGAATCGCCACTTGGAATAGTTTATTTGGTGTCCCAAGTCACAGGTTTATTTTAAAGACTCGAGGGATGCGTTGCGCGAACGCATCCCTCGAGTCTTTTAAGAATTTAATTTGCAATTATATTACGCGAACGTATATATAATCGCAATACTAGTCTAAATCGGGCATAAAGCAAACTACGATGGTTCAAAATTGTTTATTTCCTATATCTGGGATTACTGCAAAATTCAATAATTACGGAAAAAGAAAGCAATATGGTGGAAAGTATACTTCGTTACTTAATCTTAACAGAGATTTAATATAATCGAAGTCTTCTTCGAAAAACAAGGTGAAGAACATTGTTAGTTTCACCAAAAGCATAAATAACATGATTTATATAAGCGACTATTTACATAATTAGCCAACGACAGTGTCTGGTGTTAGTCCTGCTTATTTTTGAAACAAACATCAATAATGAATTTACACTTTGCAATTTAAACAATCAGAAATAAATATTACAAGGTTATGATTAATTCTTTTACTACTTCGAATCTATTGAGATCTGCCCAATTTTTATCGTCAGCACCATTTCTTTTGAAATGAAGACATTCCCAAGCCGAGGAATTTACACACACTCATACATTTTAAACAGCCGAGGAATTTTACTGTCTTAATATTATTTAAAAAATGATCCTCACAACATGATTAAATCAACATTCATTTCAATGCATCAGTAACCTATTTCAAATATATGGGTGGATTTAAACTAGGTGATATAGAACACGCAGACAATCAAAAATCAAACATTCAGATTTAAACCCTTTAAAGAATACGCTACAGACATTTCAATCACTGAACCTAAAGAGAATAGCTTGAAACAATTCCGGCACAGAAACAACAGCGAGCAAAGCGAGATTCCCCAGCTACCATGTACGAAAATCATTCTCATGTTCTTTATAAAACTCAAACAAAACATGGATTAAAAAGTAACAGGCCAACATCCAGTTAAAAAAAAAAAACAAATAACAGGAAACCATAAGAAAAGAAAACAAATGAACCTGAAATAGCAATCTTCCTTTATAGCAATTATAGAATCAACAAATACACTGTTTTCTTGACTTCAAAATTCCAGCGAGATTCAGCAACAGTATCGAGCAGAACTTGCAAGCCAAATCGAAATTTCGAAAGACCACTTCGGACAGAATCGACAGAGTGCAGAAAATTCGAAACTCCAGCCCCAATCTTCAACTTGAGGATTTAAACCAAAATTCCTTTCTAAAAAAAAGAACAGAAATCAAGAGAAAAAGAAAACAAGGCTAGAAGAAATCTGTTTCACCAATCTTTCTCTTCTTTTTTCTTTTTTTTTTTTTTTGATTTTTTCTCTTAAAACAAAACAAAGCTCGAATGAAAACTAAACTCAAGCCATATATATTTTTTTTGTGTATCTTTTCAGAAGAAAAAAAAATGACCAAGAAGACTGACGAAGAAAAAGGAAAAGAAAACTTGAAGGAAAGTGACGACTAAAAACCTAGAAATTGACTGAGTTTTCTGAAAATTCTCTCCGATTTCTTTCTCTGATTTTTTCCTCGAGTTTTTCTCTCTGTCTACAAAGAGACTCACCTTATATAGCCTTCCAAGAATCTCAAAAATATCTGCCAAAAACTCCGAAAATCTTCAGATTTTTGAACAATTTTTGGGACAAATGGAAGGCGTGGATCGATTGACATCTATCCACGGCCCCCATTCGTCCAGCAAATCGTCCTTTTGTACAAGAAACCGCGGTTTTGAGAGAATAATCGTACCCCTCTCTGACAAATTCGTTGGAAATAGAGGTGACGTGGAGAGGAACCGTTTTGAGTGAGTGAGCTCGAACTCAGGCGAGTTGAGATCGAGCTCAGTAGAGAGGAAGATAAACAGTAGCCGCTTCTCTGATCTCTCTAGGGTTAGGGGATTTGGGGGGAAAATTATAAAGGGGCTTTTATAGTAAGGGAAAACGGGCGGGTCATTTTGGTGGGTCAGCCCGGTTTGGGCTGGGGCGGACCAGTGGGAGAAGGGGTCTTTTTGGGCTGTAGGCGGGTTAAAGGGTGTTTGGGCTTAGGGAATTAATTTGTATAGGGGGAAGTTTCTGGGCCGACCTGGGTAAGTGAACAATGGCCCAATTCCAAAATGAACCCCCTTTTTCCAATTCCTTTTAAGGAAAATTACCAGCTATGTCCATTTATAGGTAGCTCATTACAAAATTGGCCAGTTGATAAAATATTACTAATATTAGCCAATTAGCTATTTGTAGCAAAACAATATCAAATGTTTACTTTGTTTTGAGTGGGTGTTATTAGAATAGATTGGGCACAACTTAAGGAGCTTGAATATCAGTTTTGGGATGATTTGGTAAAGCTTTGAGGTGGTTTGAATTGAAAATTCCGTAAAAACTGAACATGAAAAATATGATATGTGTATCACATTGTGTATCATTTGTGTATCACATATGTATCATATTTGTATCTATTGTGTATCACATGTATATCCATGTATACCTGTGTGTGAGATACATGCGTGATACATGTTTGATACATGTGTCGCAGAAGACTTTTTTGAACTCGATTTTAATTACGAATTTTGATACAAAACCAATCCAAATAACCTCCAATCCTCCTCAAATTTTGTATATTGACTTATCTATATATTTTCAATGAATTTCAACTATACCCATTGAAAAAGTTCCTTTTTTGTTTAGATTTTTGGAATATTGTATATTTTTTGTATTTCATCACCTTATTTGCTACCTCATCCATAAAATTTCCTTTCGGTCTTGTATCTAGTGTTGCTAATCACGCTTAAAAATATGGAAGGTGATTTTTGCATGTGATCTTTGAGAGAAAGAACCCTATTATTTGGTTTTTCAATTTTTGTTGGCTAGTTTTGGTAAGTCTATGATTAATGGCTAGAGGTTGGTAAGTTGAGATTTGTTTGGGACATTTGTGTAAGTTTCCCTTTTAAAAAAAAGAAAGATTAAGAGGATTATTTATGTGTTTAGTTGTTCACTTGTACTTTTCGAATTGCATGTTGTACTCTTTACAATAAAGATGCGCAATGTAACGGGGCGGAAGTCCATATGCTGGCCCTCCTAAACTCAAAGTCATTTATAGCCTGTCTTCTCCAAAGTTAAAAGTATTTTTTTTCAACCAAAAAAATACTTTTTTTTTCATAGTTAAAGTGTTTGGTCAAGCTTTTAGAAGAAGAAAATATATTTTTAAGTAGAAGCAGAAGCAGTTTTGGAGAAGTACAAAAAAATAGTNAGAACTTAGTTCGAGGGGGAGATTGTTGGGTGTGCGAACAAAGTCCCACATTGGTAGCTGAAAAGATTGGGAGTCTACATATAAGGTGTAGGGATCTCTTAATGGTGTGAGGCCTTTTTGGGAAAGGAAAATTACCAGCTATGTCCATTTATAGGTAGCTCATTACAAAAATTGGCCAGTTGATAAACTATTACTAATATTAGCCAAATTAGCCAATTAGCTATTTGTAGCAAAACAATATCAAATGTTTACTTTGTTTTGAGTGGGTGTTATTATAATATATTGGGCACAACTTAAGGAGCTTGAATATCAGTTTTGGGATGATTTGGTGAAGCTTTGAGGTGGTTTGAATTGAAAATTCCGTAAAAACTGAACATGAAAAATATGATATGTGTATCACATTGTGTATCATTTGTGTATCACATATGTATCATATTTGTATCTATTGTGTATCACATGTATATCCATGTATACATGTGTGTGAGATACATGCGTGATACATGTTTGATACATGTGTCGCAGAAGACTTTTTTGAACTCGATTTTAATTACGAATTTTGATACAAAACCAATCCAAATAACCTCCAATCCTCCTCAAATTTTGTATATTGACTTATCTATATATTTTCAATGAATTTCAACTATACCCATTGAAAAAGTTCCTTTTTTGTTTAGATTTTTGGAATATTGTATATTTTTTGTATTTCATCACCTTATTTGCTACCTCATCCATAAAATTTCCTTTCGGTCTTGTATCTAGTGTTGCTAATCACGCTTAAAAATATAGAAGGTGATTTTTGCATGTGATCTTTGAGAGAAAGAACCCTATTATTTAGTTTTTCAATTTTTGTTGGCTAGTTTTGATAAGTCTATGATTAATGGCTAGAGGTTGGTAAGTTGAGATTTGTTTGGGACATTTGTGTAAGTTTTCCTTCTTTTAATTCTAATTCCCTTTCCCCCCCCCCCCCCTTCTTAATTAAAAATCCTATTGGTTAAAAATCCTAAATTATCTAAGAATGTGAAATTAAACTAATTAACTAATTATAAAAATTATAAATATCACTTAATTCTAAATTTAAAAAAAAGGAAAATCAATAAACTAAAATTAAAGACAAAAAATGTGAAAATGAGCTATTTTTTATGATTTTCAAATTTTATAAAACAAGTATTTACTAGCTAATTATAAAAGTGTAAAAATAAAGCCTAAATGCCATGCATGATATTTTTGGTATTTTTCATGATTTAAATAAAACTCAAACATGCACAAAATGCAAACAATTAAATAAAATTCTACAAAAATTTCTAAAATGGCCGATAATAACAAAAAATCTATTTTCTTGGGATTTTATAGGAGTATTTCGTATAGGGAAAAAATCACGTGCTTACAAGAATGATAGGGCATATGCGCGGTCACTAGCGCGTCCACTACCGCGATCGCCCTAGCCCAGTTCCGGAAAAGTAAATTTCAGGGGTAAACTTGGAAGTTCGGGGGTAAATTCACTTAACCTATAGAAGGCCCGGCTCGCCCAAATATTCATTATCAAGGTTTTCATAGCTTACTTCAAGGCAAGGAGAGGCAAGAGGCAAGGAGGATAATTCAACATCGAGTTCTTCCTTTCTTCCTTTTGTTTTTACGATTTGTGATGACTTTGAATATTGTTGTGATGAACACTAGTATGAGTAGCTAAATATTTAGTCTAAGGTTTTGATGGAACCTACTGAGGGATGAACTTCTTGTTATGTTAATATAGTTTGTCCAGTTTAATCTCTATTTGTTCAACTATGTTCTTATTGTAGTTAATTGATAGGATCCTCAATTAGCTATGCCTATTTAGTGTGCATACTCGGGAGAGAGTGCATATTTAGGTCAATTGTTGAACAACACCACTCCCAAAGTATATGAGGGATCAATAACCGAGGGTTTAAAGGCGGGATTAGGGATAACGAAGCCTTGGGTGCAATCTAAAGTGAGCTGTAATAAACAAAGCCAGCTAGCGTAACTCGGGAGAGTGCGTCTAGTAAATTGTCGTGATTACTCGAGAGAGATTTGCGGTAATAAGAGTGCTAATGATTGATAGAGATGATTAGGCAATTCTATGTGAAACATAACCGGAAGGGATTCCATCAATAGGGAAAATCATAACCTTAGAACCTTCTCTTAATTGTTTACAACTTAAGCATAGTTAGTTTCAGTTGCGTATTTACATTCATTCTTAGTTAGTAGAAATATCCTCAATTGTTATTCAGAAAGTTTGGGAAGTTGATTACGTAGAATTTAGTAAGTTTAACAAGAGTAATTGATAGGTTAATTCCTTGTGGGTTCGACTCTGGGCTAAATACTCAGATTATATTTGCAACGACCGCGTGTCCTTTTTATAAGGCATAGTTGGGCGTGATCAAATTTTGGCGCCGTTGCCGGGGAATTAACGGTGTTATCAATTACAACTGAAAGAAATACCAAAATTCTTAGTGTAGTCATTATTCTTCCTTTCAAATCTTTACATTGAAATTTAACGTTTGTGACTTGGTTGTACAGGTGCATGCCTAGAAACTCAACGAGAACTACTGAAGTATTCGAAGCTGTATGTGACGACCCAAAGGGTAATCACCAGATTTATCTCTTTTTCCGTGCTTCCGAGGTCTCGAAAACCTCACCTTTAGTTGCCTCGATTTGCGTGCGCAGTCCGGGCGCGTAGCCGGAAAGATTATATGTTAAATTCTGTAAAAAATTTCAAAATGTGGCTTTAAAATGGTTAAAGTTGACCTTGGTCAACATTTTTGGTAAACGGACCCGGACCCGTGATTTGACGGTCCCGGAGGGTCCGTAGAAAAATATGGGACTCGGGCATATGCCCGGAGTCGAAATCCGAGGTCTAGAGCCCGGGAAAAGAATGTTTTTGTGAAATTATTTTTCTGAAATTATTAAGGAAAATGGAAATGAAAATTGATTAAAAGACTGTGGTATCGGGCTCGTATTTTGGTTCCGACGCCCGGAACAAGTCTTAAATATGTGTTAAGCGCTTTCTGTAAAGTTTGGTCGAAATCGGACGTCATTTGACGTGTTTCGGACCTAAATATCTAAAGTTTGAAGTTTATGAAGTTAGAATGAAAAATGATAATTTTGGGGTTTGATTCAATGATTTTGATGTTATTTTGGCGGTTTGATCGCTCGAGTTAGTTCGTATGAGGTTGTTGAGTTAGTGTGTGTGTTGGGTTAGGAGCCCCGAGGGCTCGGGAGTGATTCGGAGGTGGTTCGGGGTGTTTTTGGCCTTAGGAAGTGTTGCAGAATTTCTGCAGTCAGTGCCCAGTCATTTTCTTCTATCCAATCGCATAGGTATGTCTACGATCGCGTAGAGTTAATTTGGAGTCGCCCAGTTTTGTTCTATGCGATCGCGTTATAGGTCATGCGATCGCGTACCTCTGCAAATTCATTCTATGCGATCGCCCCCTTCCATTTTGCGATCGCGGTGTACAAAAATATCAGCCCCCATTTTAGTCTTATATGCGATCGCATTCAATGGCTCGCGATCGCAGTGACCAATAACCCTTCCTCTATGCCATCGCAGTGCCCTTTCCGCGATCGCATAGAGCAATTTCGCCCAGTGATTTTTAAATACCCAAAACAGAACATTGACGGGATT